CTAGGGTGATGATATTTGGCTAGTAGCATGCTGGGATGAAGGGCTATAAAGTTTGTTCAAATGAATGACCTTCATCTTTTTTCAAGGTCACAGGGTCAAATATGTTCTAAACCTTTAAACAACTTCTTCTGAATAACCAAGAGGCCTAGGATAATGCCAGTAACATGCTGGGATGAAGGACTACCAAGTTCAAATGAATGACCTTGACATATATATGTTAAGGTCACAGGGGTCAAATATGTTTAAAACCATTGAATGACTTCTTCTTAATAAGCAAAATGCCAAGGGTGATGATATTTGGCCATTAACTTGCTGGACTACCAAGTGAATGACCTTCGCCCATATTCAAGGTCACAGTGGTCAATATATGTTTAAATCTTTAAATGATTTGTTCTGTATAACCAAAAGGTCCAGGGTAATGATATTTTTCCAGAAGCATGCTGGGTTGGAAGACTATAAACTCTGTTCAACCTAATATTATAATGTCCTTCTTCAACATTCAAGGTCACAGGTGTCATATGTTTAAATCTTTTAATAGGTTCTTATGAATGAAACACTGATATTTTGCCTGTGGCTGTATTTTAGTCCATTTTTAAGATTACAAGTGTCAGATTAATACCAGGTGAGAGATGCAGGCCCATTGGGCCTCTTGTTTCCTGTATATTCAAATATTATTCCATTAATTTCCATTAACATAAAAGTACATATCATTAATCATTTTGCATTAATAAAACATAAGTGGTTAATTTCTAATGAAATCTTAGATGTATGAAAATTACAGAACAGTATTGTGACACAGATATTGAGATAAATACTGGTAAATTGTTAAAATCATTACATTCAGCTATTGGCCAGCCAGGTATTATTTACCAGTACAGGATTTCAGGCATCTGGAAACATTGAGATACGTTTAATGTGTACATTGTTTGTGTATAAGTAAAAACTTCCATATTGAATGTATGATTGTGTTTGTCAGATGCTGAAGGATGAACACCAAGCGTTACAGCTGGCCTTCACTGCCCTGGAGGAGAAGTACCGCAAGGCTCAGGAGGATAATCGCGAACTGGTAGAGCGCTGGATGGACGCGAAATCTAAAGACGCAGACAAACTTAACGCAGAAAATGACTATGTCATGAGGTACAGCATTTCTCAATCTAAATATGCAGACAAATCTAATGAAAAAAAAACTCTCTCGCAAGGAGCTATGTTCTTTTCAACCCTTTCACCCCTATGCAACTTTTGAAAACTCTCCCCATGCATTGATCTGGATGAGTCCATTATGGTCTACAGTGGTGAAAGGGTTAAATGTAGTTACATCTCATAAATATACATTTTCCTGTCTGAGGTAACATAGGTACTTCAGAAATAATCAAGGTATGTGCATGCATTATGGTGGAATATATAAATGAGGGTGAGAAAATGTTGGAAAATTTAAGGCCTGATTTGATTATTTTTTTCAACATTTTCGAATCCTGTGCTATACTTTCCACCATAATATATAAACGTATGTTTATAATATCTATGCTACCAAAAACAATGTAATAAAGTCGTTTTTGTGTCTACCTCAGAGTCCATATACCTTTGATAAGCAAAGTGACGTAAATAATCCAGTTATTTGATTTAGGCTGTTCTTTTGCGCTTGCTTACATGTGTTATGTGTTGCCTATAGATGTCTTCATTTCACAACAGGCCGCATGTTTCCTTCATTTCTCACCCTGTGGGCAGTTGCTGTATTTAGTCTATTTAACCTGGATATGTTTTGGGAGGATTTTTCATTTTCAGTCATCATTTGGTCGACAGACGATAAACATTTAACACTGATGTCATTTTTTATACCAGATGTTTATTTCAGTTAAACAAATCCACCATGGTATCAACATCACCCGCTAACACATGAAATCAGCATTTGACAGATTTATAAACGCTATTTCATGTTCAACTTTCACGGTGAATTCGGCGGAACATTCTGACCATGAGCTTGACAAGTTCTAGATGTTAAATGGAAACTTCTTTGTTTGTACGCTAGCTAATCTTCAAATAAATACAAAATCAATGCATGTACATGTCTGTACATAAATTGATCATATTGACTTCTCAAAAAACACCAATACTGTATCTGCTTCTTGTCCAGATTTCAGGAAAGTAACTATAATGGTATAGTCAAACAAACAGAGACCTAGCTATAATGTAAACATTATTATTTCTGATTTATAAGTTTTACGAATTAAAAATGTCTATGTTGACCTCTTTGAAATTGAGATTGAAATTAACAAAACCCTGAATCATAACAAGGCATTAGTTGACTGAAATATCGGGTATAAAATGTTTAGACTTGGGTCTTGGGTTGATCATAAATACAAACTCTATAAGGATACAATTTTGTTATCTTTCTTTTATTGCACTAACACGATGAGAACAACAAATAAAAACCTACAAGACAATACATGTAAAATTACCTTTCATAAAACTCATATAAACGGAGCAGGACAGAATAAAATGACAACGATATGTTTTACATACAATGTATAAATATAATCATCAGTAATCAAATATATAGTAATATACATAATTGGAACGGCATATCTCCAAACTGATATACACGTAGCACTCAGATTTGATATAGTAAGATTATGTATATGTAGGGTATAGACGTCTATTGTAGGACGTTGGTAGATAATGCAGACCTGCGGCCAAGGCCCCGGGACTTTATATACAGTGCTAATGGTGGCGGGAAAATTGTCTGAAATGTACATGTCCATGCAGTGAGATCACCTGTCGATTGGTCAATTATTAAGTGTCCGGTTAATTACAAGTACACAAACAGATACAGACACGTCCACAGACATTTATGAAACGGCACATGGACAACACATATAGTACAGTATATGACATCACAGAGTGCTTGTATATAACTAACACATGGACAACACATATAGTACAGTATATGACATCATAGAGTGCTTGTATATAACTAACACATGGACAAGACATACAGCACACTATATGACATCACAGAGTGCTTGTATATAACTAACACATAGACAAAACATACAGCACAGTAGATGACATCACACAGTGCTTGTATATAAATAACACATGGCAACACATACAGGACAGTATATGACAAGTATATGACATCACAGAGTGCTTGTATATAACTAACACATAGACAAAACATACAGCACAGTAGATGACATCACACAGTGCTTGTATATAACTAACACATGGCAACACATACAGGACAGTATATGACAAGTATATGACATCACAGAGTGCTTGTATATAACTAACACATGGACAAGACATATAGTACAGAATATGACATCACAGAGTGCTTGTATATAACTAACACATGGACAACACATACAGCACAGTTTATGACATCACAGAGTGTTTGTATATAACTAACACATGTACAATACATACAGCACAGTATATGACATCACAGAGTGCTTGTATATAACTAACACATGAACAAGACTTATAGTACAGTATATACAAGCACTGTGTGATGTCAGATACTGTACTATAAGTCTTGTCCATATGTTAGTTATATACAAGCACATGTACAACACATACAGCACAGAATATGACATCACAGAGTGCTGGTATATAACTAACACATGGACAACACATACAGCACAGTATATGACATCACACAGTGCTTGTATATAACTAACACATG